AGTAAAAGTACACTTGATTTCAATTCAAATGGAGTCCAGTGGTTTCCTTTCCTGATTACTAAATGAAGTCAATGCTGACAATATAGCTAGTTCTCTGGGTGTGCTTATTATCTGAACTACCACACAAGGCTGGCAACTTGAAAGAGGCAGGCTCTAAATCCATTTCATAAACCTCTAGATCCAAAGGAGCAGAAAGGTTTGGCACCTTACCTGTTGAATTCTCTGCAACATTCTGAGAGGATTGCAATTTTAAAGGACAGAAAATTGAGGCTGAGGATAGGTGAGCCAAAGATAGAGAGAAAGGAGACTGAAGAGGAAGCAACCACAACAAATGAAGACGAGGCCAATTTTGCAATCAGTACATTCAAGATCAAATGTTTCTTGGGATAATTTAGCAGGTCCCTGTTGAAGGCACTGGGGTAGCTATTTTTGTTTTTAAAGATTGTACAGCTTGATACAGATGAATTACTATGCAACTCCCAGAAGCTGAATGATGACAGTAGTCATAAGAATGAGCAACTCAGATGCTAGGAATGACTTCTTTCAAAAAGAGGATTGGAAAACCAGCTTTCACAGGCTCTTGTTCTTTAATGCTGCACTGATCAGGTGATATATGGGTTGGGGATCAGATGAGGCAATCCTAGCTAGGGAGGGGATTAAGAACATCATCTGGAATGTTACTGAGAATCCCAGGGGATAAGAAGACTGTGACAGTAATCCCGGATCTCACCCACAGAAGGAGGAACAAGGAACTGAGGCTGCTCTTCTGTTCTCTCCATTTGAACCGTTACTACTAGAGAACAAGAAAGTGGTGGAAGGAATTACAGAAAGACCTAATATATATATTAGTGTCACCTGTGAAAATCAAAATGAATCCACTGAGGAAAGGTGTCAAAAAGGGGACCTGTAACTGTGTCATGTCAGGGATTGAGACTTGAGATGCAGTTTGGATCAAAATATTATTGCCTGAACCAATTATTTCTAGCTTGGGATGCTTGACCATTACGCCCTTCAAGAGTAAAGTGCTGACACCAAAATAGGCTACAGTTTTCTGGTCTCATCCAAGATAAAATAAATGCCAGAAAGAGGCTTCAGTGGGTTATCTCTTCCTTCCACACACAGCAATCTCCTGAAGAGCATTTTATAACATCTAGCCAAATTTCCGCACAAAAATGCATTGTGTCAGTCTCTGCTTTGCTGTTGCTTCAGCTGCCATGAAACGGGGAGGGAGGGCATGGTATTTGGGAGGGGTTACTCATTGTGCTGGAGGAAGGTTCTGGAGTTCAGCTGCCTGTCGGACTACGCATGCGTGGGAAATTCCCACCAGGATTAACGGCACCGACATTCCATCTTCGTGATGCCTTTTGAAGTTATCTCACACCTGACACTTGAGAGAATTATGATTGGACTGTAACTATGATGCCAAGGGGTGGGGAATGGGCTATTCTATATATCAATCGTTTTCGCGCCTAAATATTCAGACTTCGCTACGCTATGCCTTTAATCATTTATAATTAGTAAAAGTACACTTGATTTCTACACATGGAGTCTCGTGGTCTTCTTTCCTAATTATCTAATGGAGAGGTCCTGACACATTGTAACCAAAAGAAAACACAGACCAAGGATGGGTATGAGAAAGATAACACAGACAGTGAAGTTAAAAAATAAAGCTTGGAGAGAGTTCTGATAAAATCAAAAGGGAACCGTGGAAAGTCATTATAATGAGGACTTCTCACCAAAACATGGAGCGATGTAATGTTCTGGAATGTTTCTCTACAGAGGAACAAAGCCAAGCATGTGATGATGCAACTGGGTTTTTCCCCCCAAAATTGCAGCCAGTTTTGGGAAATGCTGAGTTGAGTAAGGCCATCCAGAGCAACCTGGCTAAAAATTCCTCCAATTCACTCTGCCATATTTCAACCTCCTTGGAGAACCCTTATCATTTCTGAGTTGAATTTTTCATCCCCACAGCAACCTTAAGGCTTAGGATCTATTTGACTCTTGTCAGTCATGAAGCCCAACCAACGTCTAACGTTCAAAATGTTGGCATAAAACATGCTAACTTGTAGACCTGCTCTGAATAATCTGGTCACTCCACATTCGCTCCAGCAACAAAAGGGTAAAGAATTCTGTCTGTTTCATATAATGCTCCAAATGTTTTCCAGACAAGTTTGGTTTAAATAATGGGAATCCATTTTCTAAGGTGAGATGCCACCTTTTGCTCTTCATGTCCTCTCTCGCCAATACATTCAGGGGAGGTGGGGGCTCAACATGGCAGTAATAATAGCCAGGGCAGAAGGACAGAATTGTGGTGGTAAAGCTGTACCTTCTTGGCCAAGATTTAATCCATTTTGCTATAAAACATGGCTGGATGAGATGGTTTCTTACCTGCAGAGTAGACGACCCTCAAACTCTCCTATTTCCTGGGGAGAGAATTTCACTTGGAGGGACTGAGATTTCCCAGGAGGGATCTTCCCACTGCTGGGCTCCATGGAGAATGGAGGGCGGGTGACCACTGGGAAGATGTAGGAAGATAAACTCTCCAGGAGGCTAGCCAGCTGACTGAAGGGCCGGCTAGACTGGGCCTTGATGGAAGCAGTTGATGCTCTAGATGGGTCCCCTGGTGAAAGGGACAGTTTATTGAAACAACATTTCTGCAAATACTTACTTTCTTCAGACTGACCTTCTGTTTGCTTCCTAAAATGGTTCCCTCCATAAATTCCCAGATTGTAGGATACTAAACTGGGGAAATCTGCTCGCTTTAAAATGAATCAGATATTAAGAGACTCATCTAGTGGCAGAAGCATTTTCTAGCTTAAACTCACAGCAAACCACATCCCCTGCAACTGATATTCCAGAGCTGGTTTCCCCAGTTTCAGTATCCTCCAGTTTTGATTTCTGCTCCAGAACATCCTAGACAACAAAGTGATAGCTGAGAATTCTGGGAACTGAAGTCCAAATTTGCGATAGCTTCTTCAGAGACTGTTGTAAGGCACAAAGGATGGTGGTAAACAATGCATAAACCAAAACAAAAGACCTACAGCAAAGTTCTTGAGATCCTTGCAACGGGTGATTGTTAGGGGAAGGAAGAGCAAGAGGAAAAGGGGCAGAGAAAGCTGTACCTTCTGGGCTTGTTGACAAAGGTTCGGTAGCAAAGTTAACAGCCTTCCCACCTTCTTCCATGACTACTTTCCAGGAATACTCCAGTTGCACATTGCCTGTGTTGGACAGCTCCACCCTGAGAAGGCAACAGAGCAGGGAGGAAATGAAGGCTTTGCTCAGAGTTGGGATATATTAGAAAGGAGATCCAAAGGAGGTGGCTGTGACGGCTGAAAGATCAAAGCCAGACACAAAGAGGATGTGGGTGAAGGACAGGCAGAGTCTTCTTGATCGTAATGTTTTATTTGGTCTCATCTTACTCACGTGAACACCCGTGTTTGGAAGAGCAACGTGTCTCTGAAGTGCACAGCATCTGCATCCATTTTATATTGGGCAAAGTCGACGTTGGCACTCACTCGAAGCACCAGTTCCTGGCTACCCTCCTCCACAGTCATATGAGTAGGTTCTGGATCAGTCTCTATCACCTGCCCCAAAAGCAGAAGGGTCAGAAGCAGCCCAGAAGGCTTGGTGCTCATCATCAGAGCTGCAGGCAGGAGTCGCTTGTTTGGCAGCCACTCCAACACAAGCAGGAAGAAGATGAGGCCTGGAAGAGCAACCACCAGGAAAGCCCTACAAAGGCTGTGCCACTGTGGCTGTGATACAATTGGCCTCAGGAGCACCAGCGAAGAAGGAGGTGGAGCAAGGCCGGCTCTCTTATCCCTCCCTCCTTTCTTCTTTCCATGCTGCAACGCACTCTACATGGGGCTGCCCTTGAAGAGTGTCCAGAGACTACAGTTGGTCCAGAATGCAGCCGNGAGCTGGAAAGCAGGTTTGTGGGGTGAGGAGGGAATGAGGATTTTTCAGTATCCTTCCCCTGTCACGCCCACGAAGCCACGCCCACAGAAACAGTAGTAAAAAAATTTGAATCCCACCACTGATCTCTACATCTTCCAGTAAAATGGATGCCCATGCAACTTGATTGCTTAGCTCAGTATAACACAACTAACACAAACTGTGAAAAGGATAACACTGCCATATATCAAAAACATCTCAGAAACCACCGATCGACTGTTACAACCATGTGGTATCACCACAGCACACAAACCAACTAAACCGCTCCAAAATAGCCTAAGTAAATCTAAAGACCCAGAAAAAAATAGGGATCATCTACAACATACAATGCGACCATGAAACACCAACTAGGACTCAGAAGACATGATAAAAACTCCTTAATTTAACCCTCCAAAGCACTTCCAACCATTGCAAAATTTGCACATATATTCAACCACACACACACACACACACGCACACACACCACAGTCACTTGATTGCTACTTGAGCACTTGGCAATTACTTTGCAGTTTTATCCAGTTGCCAAGTGCCCCTCAACCAATGCAATTGCCATCTACAATCTCCTTGCGGGTTTCCCCAGAAAGTCAGCGGTTTCCACCTGGGTTTCAGCAGAGAGGATTGGGCCTGGTCCTCCCCCAACCCCCGAGGCAGCCCACGCTCCTTACTTTACCACTCTGCTTCTAGGGCCAGAAGGGCTGGGATTGCAGTCATTGAGCGAAGCAGTGATCCGATGTCTCACTGAACTTTGCTCAACAACCAAGATTCCGGTCTCAATTGTGGTAGTGAGTCAAGGACTATCTGTACATATATCCACAAATATCTTAAACCAGAATAGCCATGTAAATCAAAAATAAGTAAATAATAAAACACGTATTAAGGACAGAAATTAATTCAGATTATCATAACACACTGTTATTTTATAAAATAACAAGAGACCCATAAGCTATATTGAAATAACCATCTAAAATTTTACTTGAGTGAATCCCTAAAAACTGTTTTATTTTTAAAGAGAAAGGTCCAGACAAACACATGAACAATCCAACCAGGAAGGACCAGTGTAGGAAGGAGAGTCTGGAAGACCCTCTCAAGGGCTGATGGCAAGGGGGGATGGGGCAAGTTCTACCCCCAGGATCGAAAGGAGGGAACCACCAAGATGCTCTCCAGGTTAGACCAGGGCCAAAGCCAAATATGGCGCTGCTGGATGATGGTGAAGAAGCTTCCAAATGATTAAAGTACGTTCCTCAGTTGGCTTGATGCTCACCTGCTGTTCTTGACATGGACTCCCACAGAGGTGAATTCAATCACTTTTGTTTGGGGGTCCAGACTAATCCCTCCTGGTCCTCGCAAGTCCGAATTGCGCCTGTTTGCAGTGATGTAATCAGAGTCTTCCAGCTCAAAGTGGCAATATGGCAGGAGACTCTTCCCTTTCACAGCAATAACAGGGCCCTTCTCATCTAGCTTCAGATTAGGCATACTGGAAAGAAATAAACCCGGATTAGGAATGAATGCAAAACAAGGGATTAAGGATGGTCCACGGCCCACGTATGTGCTTGTTTTGCATTGAAACTCTCTTCACCTGTCCCTTCATCACCAGGTGCCCAGAGAGAGCTGAAAGAGCAGTAGGCATAAATAAAGGTCATGTCTGCATAAAATAACGTTCTCAAATATTTTTCCAGTTGAGCCATCTGGTTTGAAGGTTTGGTAAGCCTGGGTTTTCTCAATTTTCAGTCAATCACTGTACCACTTGGTCATTAGCAAGAGAAGAAAGAAGGTGGCAGGAGAGCTTGGACATTTGAAATGAGAATGCACAATTAATGGCTTGAGAGGCTGCTGTAATATGAAAAGCCAAAGCCAAAACTGACATATACTGTAGTTTAAACATCGAGATAGTACAGTTTTAATAGAGTTGACCACACAACAGCCTTGCAGATTCAGGCAAGGCAAATGGTGAATGCAGGAATTGTGAATATGACATCAACTAATGGTGGCATGCCAAATCACCAGCACTGGAATAATGTCAACAGCCAGTGGGTAAAATGCTGACAGAAACAAGAGCCGAGGTGGCGCAGTGGTTAGGGTGCAGTACTGCAGGCCACTTCAGCTGATTGTGATCTGCAGTTCAGCGGTTCAAATCTCACCGGCTCANAGGAACAGTCCTGGGGCTGAGTAAATTTTACTAATACTGGCATTTTGGATATTTCAGGGCAATTGACATTGGAATCTTGAAGGAATATTGAGTAACTTTCAGCCTATTAAATTATTAAAAAATGTTTCAAAAGGGGGAAACAAATACAGTTCATAAAGAAATATTATTAATGTTTCAATGTATTCAGGAAGATATGGCAAGGAATCATAAGGAGCTGATGGAGCTGATGCAGGATACAGATGTGAGACTAGAAAACCCCCAGCAAATGTCAATGAAAGATGAACAAAAAACTCAGAAAACAGAGGCAAAACCAGAAGGAGCTGAGGAAAGAATAGAGATAAATTTAAAAAAGGTAAAAGCAGATAAAGATATGAAAGAGAGTAATAATTCTTAAAACAGAACAGATGGATTATCTTTAAGAGCTCAAAATATAGAAGAGAATAAAAAGAAAGATCTCCCAAAGGTGATGAAAAAATTACAGATGGGTTCTCTAGAGATCCAACAGCAAGAGATAGGTTTTGAGGAAGATGAAATACTTAGATTAAATAAGCATGATGTAAGGAGATACAAGATCCCAAGGGAGAAACCTGAAAAATTTACCAAAAACTCAAAAAGAGTTGAAATTCTAAAAAGGGCAAGAGATGTTGGATAGATATAGAATACTTCTTAATATGGTGGCTATTTTATTCAGTTAAAAAAAGAGGTAGAAAGTAGAAATTGGGAAAATAGTATGTATATTGTTGATACAGAATAGAATAGATCATAACTACAATGTATACACAAATGTTAGAAGTTGAAATATTATGATTATGTATATCTAAATAATATTATTATCATTAGTATTGTGTATAAAGTATATTGACCCAGACAATCCACTGTTAAAGAAAAAACGATAATTTTTTTTTTTTTTAAAGGCTGGCCATCGGGGTGGGAGAAGTGCAAAGTAGAAGAAGCCATCCTTCGCCTACCTGCCCTATCAGGTTCATGTCCTTCTGCAAAGAATCTGCATGCTTGCTTTGCCTGCCTGTGCTCATAAAAGCATTCTGCCGGCTGAGGTCTGTCTCACGGGAACGGGAACTTTTGATGTTAGAGTTTCTGAAAGAGGAAGCATTACAAAATAGTTGGAATCTTATCTGCAGTCTCAGAGCACAGGCAGGGAAGTTGCATGAAGATGCACAGCCCACTTTCTGAGAATGTGTTTTACAAGCCTTCAGGATCATACCCACACTCACTTTCCCAAGGCCACAATAGACCTCCCCAAAGGAATCAAAACACAAACACACACACACACACACACCACACCACACACACTGCCCCAGTTGGGAGACCTCAAGGGGGTCTTTGTGGAGAACCTGAGCTCTGCTTCCACTTTCACATTTTACACTCCTAGGTTGTGGTAACTCTGAGAGTTATCACAAGAACATTTGATGCGTGTATGCCTTTCCTCCCTTTGAAGTGCCAGTTCCTTTCTTAAGAAAAGAGCTGACCGGCCGTGAGGGTTGCAGTTCCCTCCTATCTTCCCAAAGTTTCTCATGGTAGAATAGTAAATGGGAAAAGTGAAATCGAGGAGTGGGCAACATGTTGATGACAGGCTAGCCATCACTCCCATCTGAGGGCACCTCTGAGACCGACTGTCCTTATTGAAGTAGGATTATTGTCCCCCAAGAAGATGGACCAAAACAAGAAGACTCCTGAATCAGTCTTCCTGATGTCTTCTCCAGGGCTTTGCTTGTGGGAAGCTAGCAGAGAACCTCAGAAATTGTGATTGTGTGATTGTGGCTTGTTGCAATGGCTCTAAGTCCTTCCAATTCAATGTCATCATAAATTTGAATGCTGAACAAGTGGGTGTAAATACTTGATTGTACCACCTGTATTACCTATACCTGTACAATCAAGACGCTTCAGGGTAGATACCAGGAGGAGCTTCCTGATGGTACCAAGTATCATGCAGTGGAACAGTCTGTCATGCAAGTGTCTCATTGTGTGGGAGGTTCCCTTTTGTTGGCGGCCTTCAAAGGTAATCTATCAGAGATGATCTGGTAGATCCCAGTTGAATGAATTGACCACTAAGATCTCTTCCAAGTGTGTGATTAAAATTAAAATGTATAATTGGGTATCAACTTTTAAAACACTCTCTGGGCCAGAGCAGCTTCTGCTTCACTGGGATCACTTGGGCAGACACATTTAGGAAACATCTAAAGAATCTGAACCTTTTTGCCAGGCAAAAACATTTTCCTTCTTCCAGGTATTTCTATAGATCATATTGGTTTCATTTTCAAACGCCTGCTTTACATGTGTATGTCTATCTCTTTCTTGTGCTATTTACATATTGTCATTTTTGTTATAAGAAAGTTTTAGTACTTTAAATAACTTTGTAACCTGCTCTGAGAACTTTAATACAATAAATAAATCTCAAGAAACAAATGCACACACACATAGAAAGATGTGGCTGGGCCGAGAAGTGAAATTCTGCTGCTCTCGTCAATGCTAAATATTTAGAAAATGCCTCCGTTCTATGGGCACCTGACTCCATGCACAGAACAAATCAGGCTGACAGATCCCCGAAGACGAAGCTCACCCTTTCTTTGCTGTAATCACAAAGTCACGGACTTGCTTGCAAATGGTGAACTTAAAGTCCAGGACCCCTTTGTTCTCGATGGTGAAGTTGCCAGTCTTCCGGGTGCTGTTCATCAACGGCCCAAAGTTAATGATGGATGGAGGGACAATATTGTACTTGCTGAATAAGGACAGTACTGACAATCGGATGGGGATGGTGGCGATGGTCTCCCCCCCCTCACAGAGGGAAGGCTCAATCACCTAGAACAGGAGGGAGAAGAGGCTCAGGCCAATGGCTGGCTCCCACCTTGTTGGCCAGCTGAGCTGCCTTCTTTCCAGTCAGTTACACCCAGGGGTCTTACATGGCACTGCAGAACAGGCTTGTCCTCAATTTTCACTTCCTTCTTTGAATGAAAGACAATCTGGACCTGTGTAGGGCGGTCATTGGGACCCAGATTCCCCTTCTGGGGCTGGATGGTGAACAGCTGACCCAGGTCAGACATCCCATATTCTGTCGATTCAATAACCAAGCTGGGGAAGAAGAACACAATCCTAAAAATTCACAATCTCTTACGTCCGTTTCTTTAATAGCTGATGGGGCCTTTATGGTGTGGGGTTTCATCATCTCAATTGCCCATCCTTCCACGCAGCCACCCAATCGCAATTTCTTAGTCTCTTAAAGAGCTTTGGGGAAGCCAATGTGCCTCTCCAACCAACAAACAGCCCTCTATGCCAAGGGGACCATTCTGGATGAAAAGCAATGAATGTAGAGATTTCAAAATTTAAAAAATGCCTCAAATAATAACATTTAAATAAAATGTGAACAATGCAGACTTTATCGAACAAAAAGGGTCAATAGGATTTGGATTGGTGGAATTGGAGGACAAAAGTGTGAGTGAGGTGAACTCAAATGATTAATCTTTGAGATTTTCACTGAGCTATAAATCTTTAATTAGTGATACTGAAGCAAGGAGCAAAGGGAGAACAAAGCAACTCCTCTGAAGAGCAGGGGTTACCTGAAAGCAATCTCGTATTTGCCTTTGTTCTTCATGGATAACATCTGCTTAGCTTCATCCATAACTCTGACAATCCCAAATTCCAAACCACCATTTGTTCCTGTAAACAGAAAAGAAGGCATGAAGTCAAGAAAAATGCTCAAAACGCTCTTCGGTAATGACTCTGCCTGACTCCGGAGAGCAGAAAGGCCAGGCAGAAGTTTCCCACTTGTCACAGACCATCCCAGAAATGCTGATACTCAGCTCTGACCGGGCCTTTGCCCAACAACACACTCTTCGAGGTCAGGTAAATAACAACAACATGACACCCAACGTCAAATGTCAAAGTAACTACAAAAGAAAAGCCCAACAAAACAAAAAGATGGCAAGTGCATTAAAGGGAAATATTTCCCTGCCTCTTGGGTGAAGCGCTTCATGGAGTGGGGGGTATCCAGATCTGGGGGGGGGGGCACCTCATTCCAGAGGGCAGGTTCTAGTACAATCTTCAGCAGAGACATTGTTTAACTGAAGGAACCAAGAGCGCACCAATCCCACTGGATGAAGTTGGCCAGACTGAGGTTATGGGAGAGAGGCCATCCCTCATGTAGCTGGGCCCTGTAGGGTGGGAGGAGGAGCAACGTATTTATATATATTTTTCTTGTTTTCTCTTTTCTAATGTACATTTTTTCAACGTTTTGTTTAGTTTTGCATTGCTTTTGTAAGATTTATTTTTTCTCTTTGTATTTTAACTTTCAGAATAAAATAAAAATGTGTGGAAAAGTGCTTCCTTTGACAGCAAGGATCCAACCTCCATCACTGTCTTCTGATCCAAAAGAGGAAGATCAGGTGGAAAGCAAGTGCAGCAGAAATGGCTGTGGACCAAGGGAGGTAATTGGGGGCGGTGGGGGGGAGGAGAGAGGACATGACTGACTCTCTTCAAATGGTTTCCAGTGAGCACTCAGCTTAATTTTAATTCAATTTAAATAAATAAGTGATAACTTACCCTTGGGGAAACTGATGTCCAGGGCCACATCATAGGCCTCAGCAACAATCTGTATATTCTCAATCTGAACAATCCCCAGAATATTTTCTGCATCAGAAACCTAAAACGACCACAAGGATTGTTATTCCAATGCACACCGTAATTGGTGAGGTCAGCCTTTGGCGCTGCCCGCTGAAGACCAGAGCCTATCGGCTCTCTTTCATAAATATACTCCTACATATCATATGAGCTGCCAAGGGTATTGTGTGATTGAAGGGAGATATGAATTTGATGAATAAATAGCAAATAAATAATTGGGGAAGGACACTGTGACAGAAAAGACACAATTCCTGAGACTTGTTAGAGATCCTATCAGTCCGTCAAGATACACTAGACTAAGAAACCAAAGTCCTGTGGGCCAATATTTATTTTATTATGTTACAGCAACAACATCTTACAAGCCTGAAGTCATCCCCCATCCTTTTATCTTTCTGTGTGTATGGGGGAGGGGGATTTGTCTGTGCTGATTTGGACTTTTGGCTGACCATTTTGTCTTGTTTGCGGCTCTTCTCCTGCCCCTCAAGATTGCCCCTTTTCTCCATCAGCTTCCCTGTCCTCCCCCTCTCCCATGTTCCTACATCCTCTCCTCTCACAGAAACTCCCAAGAGCCCACAAAAAACTCTGTAATGCGGCTGTATTATCTTGAGGAGCAAATTCCTCCTCTCGTTCTTGCTGCTTCTGCAGCGCAGCCTATCCTTCCTCTTCCCTTGCCAGAAACTGCTGCCTTCTCTCCCTCCAGTCCTGTGTTTCAGATGCAGATGGAGCTGGACAGCCTCCCTGCCCTACTTAGCTCTGTGAGCCCTGCAACCCAGAGAAGGCAGACCCTGGTTCATTATGGGTTGCCCCACCCTCTTACAATGGCAGTACTTGTCAAGGAGGGGATTTGTTGGGAAATTGGTCATGAATGGAAACTTAGCAAAATCCTTGCATTTCTTGCTAATGGTCTCATCATAATCAAATCCAGCAAGCTTTCCAAGCTGTACGGCTTGCTTTACTCTAGAGGACTCACCTCTAGCCGGATAGCCTTCTTGAGGTTGAGGGCCTTTGTGGCCTTGAAGTTGACCAGCAGGCAGTGTTCAGTGAAGGGCTCAATGATGCCGATATCCTCGGACAAACAGAAGTCATCGCCAATGTTCTCCAGGCCGCTGATCCGCCAGGCGACTGGCAGGGGAGTCACGTTCTTTAGGTAAAGTGATTTTGTTTCCTTCCTGCAAAAAGAAGAGAAGCCAGGCAGATGCTAATAAATTTTGAAACCCCAATTTCAGGTGTAAATCCAGTCTACCTGCAGTGTTAGGCCTCGTTTTTCTGAATTATTTTATTTGGATTACTTTTCAAATACGAAGATATTTATGTGTATATATATTAATGTATCTTACTTATTAACTTTATTGAATTTGTATGGCTACCTATCTCATCTAAGCAACTCTGGGTGGCTCATACAGATTTTTAAACAAACAATCCAATAAAAGATTAAAAACCAATTTATTATATAGAAACATAAAACATATTAATAGTCTCTATAATCAATTTACAAATCAGAACATTACAATCAGCAGCAGAATCCTTTCTAACTCAGCTCAATCGAGCTACTGTAAAAGCCCCCAGCCATTTCCAGATGCCCCTTCCCCAAAACAGCAGCAAAGCCATGTGTGCAGAACCTTGTTAAAGGCTGGGAGGGTCAGGACCAATTTAAGGTCTGGGTAGATGAAGGTGCTCACAAGGCAGGGGCCACAACAGAGAAGACTCTCCGCCTGGGTCCCACTAGATGACCTTGTTTTGTAAACAGGAACTGCTGATCTTGATGCAAGGGGTGGAGGTGACAGGAGAGGGGCAGTCCCTTAAATAACTTGCATTAGAATGACCATTGGCTTACCTGAAGGGTCCTTTTCTGTACGCTGCGAGGAGAGTCCAAGCATGGGTTAAATTCTGTCTGACTGCCCTGGACTGAA